ATAATCGATTCTTGCCTTCAAGAATCGATGCAGTAGATCACAAAAATTAGAATCGCGATGCATCGTCATGACGATTATTTTGCACACCCTTAGTAGGCACTGACTTATTAGCTTGGTTAGCCATGTCACTACCAGATCCGTCCTGCACATGCACCACCAGCTCATTTGCGCATCAAGATATACATCCGGGTCGCCCTCGATTTTATTTTGTTAAAAAGACCTAAATGCATTCTGACATGTATACCACAAATAAATAATACTACTTATACTTCAGCGATGGTTTTAAGGTGCCATTTTATTGTATCTCTTGTACTACATCCATCGGTTTTGCTCTTGTTTTTCATCCCTTTGCAGGCGATGAAGCAGACTGAAGATGTTTTATCGTTATCTCCTTTTTATCTCGATTTTCATTCATCTTTTCTCCCTTTTCCTGTTTTTCCTTTCCTGTTCTACTTACATCGCAGTGTCCATACGATCTGTAATAATCTCTGCTTAATTATAATAGAGCTATTTATATGCATAAATCAAGCGAAATCACTGCTCCACTTGTGAAAGTAAAATCTGTTGGGTTCTTTTTGGCATCAAGACAATTATTCTTATTTCCACATTGCCAGACACTTAAATGACGTTTTTCCCTCCCCAAAAATAGTAAACGTACTAAAATATAATGTGTTAAAGGTTAAAATTGTATTTCCTGAGAAAATACTTGCCTTAAAATCCTTTCTGTTTTATCAGTCATCTGTGTCCGATCTGCACCTGAGATGGCTACGCTACTTCCACAAGCTAACTTTTTTGGCTTTGAATTTAAACATAAATCTAGTCTTTTTGAGTTTTATGTTTTCCTTTCGTGTTAACAATGGTATATAGTGCGTAATCTAAAGAGAGAAACAACTAAAATGCAGATAAACATGGTTTAATCATATTTTGCCGGACTGCTCTGAGCGTGTCCCGTGATGACGTCAGAGAAGCAGTTTAACAGAGAAAATGTAAAAAGCATCAAAATTGTCTCACAAAAGCCATAAAACATTTCTTAAAGATGTGTATTAGTATTCTTTAGAGAGTTAAGGATAGAAATAAGTCATTTTAGCACCAAAATGATATTATTTATGGACACCCGGATGTATATCTGGTCGGATTGCTCTTCTGGGACGGTTTGGGTAGTGACAGCCATCCTGATTTATTTTTGTCCATATCAGCAGCCGACTTCTCAGTAATGTAATTTTTGTTCTTTTTAATGCGCTGCAACCGGCACCATGCAAATTCAAGCAAAAAAAGGTGGTTCCACTTAAATGTTCATCTAGTTTGTCTCACTGGTTTCCCTGTCGTTACGAAATCATGTGTGTAAAAATGAAACGGGGCTAAAAATGCAGCGGGAAACTCATGTAAATTTATATTGACATGTTTGACAATCTAATAAACTGCATACGTTTTGATCTAAAGGCAAAGCTCATAGGTCTGAGTAAGAAAAAAAAAAGTCATTTTGAGAGTTTGTTGCGGCAACAGACATAAACTGTTTAGTGAAGCATGCCCCCAGCTATTCCAGCCACTCTTTTAAACACAAGCTTAAGATGAGTCATTTGTTTTTTTACTTTGCTCAAAGTGTTTTATACAAATCCTGAAAAAGTTATTTGAGAGGAAAATGATATAGCTATGTTCGTTTATGCAAAAACGGCCATATGATCAAAATATGTTTAACAAAACACGTTTTTTATTAAATGTATAAAATGAGTTGTCCCTGCTCCACCTGCGAAAACAGATGATCAGTGTTCTCAATTGTGGCTTGGCAGAGTATTTATTTATATGCTTCACGGATGCCAAAACTCAAACTAAAAGTAAAAACAAGTCCATCCCACATACAGTAACCTGCACTGCATGGAAGCTTCTGAACCTCTAAATCAGAAAAGTGGAAACAACATATCCTTCTAAATTCAGATGAAGAGAGGAGGACTGACGAGCGACTCTCTCAATGCAAAAAACTTTTATCTGAAGAATATTTTTTCTTGAATTGGGGAGAAAAGTGAGACACTTTGCCAATGAAACAAGACAATTAACATTTAAAATAACAAAAATAATTATATTGCCTTATTTCAAGCGCATATTATCTAATTATCTTATTTTAAGAGTAAAAACACTCATTCCGTTACCAATCCATCGTATTTATCTGCTGAAATTAAGAGTAAATACACTTAATTAAAGAAGCATTTACTTATTTCTGGTTCGGTTTTGCAGTGCTCTTTCATTTTCCCTGATGCTTCCTAAACTCTAATCTTGACTAAAGATGCAAATAGTCTAAAAAACGTCCCCACCAAGTATTTGCATTTAAACAAATAGATAAAAGGTCATTTTGAAAAGCTGCCTCCTCATGACTGCAGTGTGAGGTGGCATGTTCCATGTGTCCCTGCCCTCCTGACAGTGTGGTTAAAGCTCCCTAAGTGGCACGCCACTCAGTATGGTGCTGCTCTCCTGGATTGAGCCACTGTAGGCAAATACAGCTGAGGGAGAACAGAGCAGCCTCTGTGGGTGTGTGTATGAGAGCGTGCAACACTGTTCAGCATCATCATGGATACAGGTAAGTCCCTCTCATTCATATATTAACTCTCTTTTCCTAATAGAAATATTGCAAATGTCAGTTATATTAAGATGACAGAGTTTTATTTTATGCTGGCATGCCTTATTTTTACATTTTAAAGAACTTAGTCTGGGTAATGATCTTCCTTATGTGTGACAATTTATACCTGAAACCTGTTAGATTATGTGTCTCTTTGCATTGAGCCCTGCTTCCAATAGAAATATGTCTGCTGACAAAAAGTATTCTAAATGTATTATTCTATATAATAAATGAAGGATTTTTGTATCGTTTTGTATTTGGGAAAATCAATAAAACTCATAACTTCCTTTCCACAGAAAAAAAAATAAGGAATATATACATTTATTTCAAATTCAGAGTTTTTTATTTTAATTTTTTTCAAGAATCTCTTAGCTGGGCAGATTGGGAGCTTATCTAAAATATCCATTCAAAAAGCTGGGGTCTTTTACATATAGTTTTTTGCATGCAATTTCCGTTTGCATAATAAAGTTTGCATTTTCATTGAGTTTGGACCTTTGCTTCCCAGGAATGTCCCCAAATCACACCAGCACCGATGTCAGATTTATTAAAACAAATGCGGAATAAGCTGGTTAATAAATAAATGCGATTTCTCATTTTTTTATTTCTTTTTTGTTAATTTTCCCCTAAAGCTTAGTTTATTGCCTGGTGGAAATCAAGTGTTTTTTAAGTTAATTGCTTCATTTTAGCCATCCATTTGCATTAACCAGACCAAGGGATATTTCCATGACATTTACACACACAATCCCAAAGAGTCATTCGCCTATATGCATAAAACTGTGAAGCATTCAAATGAACACACATTTGTGGGGATGGATGAAAATTTGTATGAATTTGTGTTGGAGAATGAACTGTTTCTCCATATGTTTCCTCTCAGTGGCTTTTAATCTCTGCTCTCCAGAATATTCCAAGAGAGTGTACCAGGGTGTCCGGGTCAAGCACACGGTGAAAGACCTGCTGGCGGAGAAGCGATCCCGACAGACAAACGGGCCCAGATATAACGTAAGCACGGATCATTCTGCTATTGTACGCTCCTGTGCCGTCTGTCCTCGTCATCTTTCATAAACCAAACACTGTAGCCACAGTTGACATTCAGTTAACAACACAATTATGCCGTCGCCTTTAAATAGTATCCTCTCCCTGTTTACATATGGTGTTGTTTTGTGCTCTAATGAGCCAATGGGTGATCCGTTGACCACCTGTACCTGCCTCCTCCCTCTGTTTCTGCTGCCCTCAAGCACTCATAAAGCCCATCTGTAAATACCTGTGCATAGTGTGTGCAGATAAAGACCTCACAAAAGAACATTGACACAATGCGTGCAAAGGCAATGGCCGTGATCTTCCAAAAACTCCCTGGAGGTGGAGGTGGAGGCGGGGTGGGAGGACAGGGAGCGAAGGGGAGACAGAGAAAGAGCCGATGCAGGAGGCTGCCTATGCAAAGTTTGATTAACACACACCTGCCAGCCGATATTGTCCTCTGCTATGAGCGAGCTGCAGACAAACCTCCTATTGTTGTCAAACACACACACACACACACACACACACACACACAACCCAGCATGTACATACAGACAAATCTGACTGTATCTTAGATGTCTGCATGCAGGAGCAAGACTGGCTTTTCATTACCACCAATTGCACGTCAAAAGGCTTTCATGGCACCCTATTTACTCACTGGTTTCCCTCTAATGCTGGCATGTCCACTCTGCAGATATGCAGACTGCTCACCACTCAGTTGGTTGGAGGATAAAGTGGTATTACAACAAGAAAAAAATCTCTACATCTTTACTTTCTATTCTGAAGATGCTTGATGATTTCCAAAAGGTTGAAGCTAAAAAACAAACCGAATTCCAATCCAGGAAGCTTTTTCAATTCAAAATGTCTGGATCAGCGTTGAGTTCCAGGCTTTTATAGACGAGACCGAACAGAAGCTTTGTAATGGCTTAGAAAACATGCACACTGAAACCCGATATTGGCCCATTCCTCTGAAAAGGCAGTCATTAAGGGTCATAGTTGTCCTTACTGACCTGATGAGACATTTTGTTCCCCTGCATAGCGATGGGGGTTGAGATGGCATTGGGGAGGAATCAACTCTATCGCTACGTTGTGGGTTTTTGAGAGCTGAAACCTGAGTCCAGCCCCTCTGTTTAAGGACGGTTTTTCTCCTTTAACATAAATGGCTTCCTTCACACCCCTTTCAAAACACCTGTCTTTCTTTTTTAATCTAAAATGTGATCATTTCAGCGGATGTAGGCTGTGGTTTGTTGGACAGAAAACAAGCTCTGCTCTGCCAGAACTAATAGGGTTTTATGCAAACACACAAGATGAATCATACACTGGGAATAAAGCTCTGTTTCAAACATAAATCTTACCGACAGCCTCAGACTTAATGGTTTATCTACCGAATCAGAAGATCTCTGTTCTAGTCTGGATTCACTGACGAATATCTCCACTTTTAAATCATAATGAGTTAATAGGAACACTAGTACAAATCCTACTACAAACAGTAGGATTTGTACTTCTACTCAAGTAAAAAACATGAATACTTTTGACATCTGTGCCTATTTCAGTATTCCTCAGCTATACCTTCAATATAAGGTCAAATATTGAAATATAAGCCCTAAACTTACTGGTTTCTCATAAATATTTGTATGATATCAGCCTGGTACTAAATGTGTCAGAAAAAGATCTATTGTAATAAGCAAAAATATGGTTTCCCTCATTTAATTAACATGTAGTTATATATGTAACCAGGTTAACGGAGGTTATTAACCGTTTTGACATTTTTAACGACGCAGTTCTTCCTTCCTATAATTAAAACCTGTTCTACTTTACACATTTTCTAAAGATTAAATAAAAAACACCCCCTTTAAATTCTGTTGCTTTGCATATGTAAGCTTTAAGTGGCATATTTAATTATTTAGTAGCTTCCATTCCTTGATTTGGTTAATAGATAATGATATGTTAGGAATTGGATCTTAACTTTTTAAATGTTGAAACCCAGAGAAAATAGTCAATCCTTTTTACCGAGACTGTGTGCTGAGCTCCATGTTGAAACAGATTCAAGCCCAAAGCCAAACATCAGTGTGAAAGGGGGGAGGGCAGATGCTTCAGGCGGGGTCAAAGGGTTTTTCATTCCATGGTTTTTACTAATATAACACACACTAAAGACTGTGGTCTGCTAAAAAAGCATAGGTGTTGAGGTGACTGCTGTACTTAGATCTGGGGCAAGTCTCAGGCTCTCAGTCTGGTGGTTCAGAATTCAGTTTCTGATCGCATTTTTTTTATTCATTTTCTTTGATGACCTGTTGCCGAAGAAATATAATACGTCAATAATTTCAGCTTTCTGATGATGGTAGAAACAACCTTCAAAAGCTGAAATTTTTCTTTTCAGCTCAGAAACATTTAGCCCCATTTACACTAGCCTTTTCACACTGTGCTGAGAACGGTCAGTAAATGGGGCTAAATGTTTCTGAGCTGAAAAGAAAAATTTCAGCTTTTGAAGGTTGTTTCTACCATCA